TAGTGGAGAGGTTTAACAAACAGATCAGCAGCAGAGTAACCTTTCCTGAAGCCATATTGATGATCACAAAGTAGTGAGTGGTAGTCAAAAAACTCTGTCATTTTGTCTTGAGATTATTGTCTCAAGGATCTTACCAGTGATTGACAGGAGTGACACTGGTCTGTAGTTGCTGATTTCTGCTCTGCTCTTCTTTTGTGAACAGGGACTACATTTGCCTCTTTCCAAAGAGAGGGCCATTTACACTGTACTAGGCAGTGCTGAAAGATGCGAGTTAGAGGTCTCTGCTCTGGTCTGCACATCTTCTCAACATCTGGCTCAACTTGTCTGGGCCCACAGCCTTTTCTTGTCAAGTGTTTAAGTGAAAATGCACCTCCTCCTGCCTTTTGTCACCACTACAGTTTTGACACGTTCTTGCAGCTAGCCAAGGAGGTCCCTTGCTGGATCAGGTACTTGCATTTTGTAGCAAGAGTCCGCCTTCTCTTGACTACTAGTTCGAGTGGTCCCATCCTGTCGATTTAGAGTGAATAAGTTCATCAGCAGTACCTTGTTCTGTCCTTTGACCAGGGGCCACCAGGTTTTGGAGCCTACCCTACCCTGTCTACTTTCTTTTGTGTCCACCTCCTTTAGCAATGGCCCACTTTTGAACATCACCCATCTGCCTACAGGTCCTTGCATGTGCATCTTCCTGTTCTTGGTGTGATGTCTCTTTACCTTCGCCTGCTTTGTACCTTAGCTCTCTAGCACCTCTCTACAACGAAAGCCTAAACCAAGGCTCTGTCTGTAGGCTTCTGTCACATATTGCTCGGTTGCGGATGTGTTCTTGTTGTGATTACGGCTCTGTTCCAGTGAAGGCTTTCACTTGTTGTCAACTCTCCCCTTGGTAAGCTGCATCTCTGTCAGTGGTGGCGTAGTCTCAGACAGCTGGCCATTACCTCTTTCTCTTACCAGTTGTTGTCGTTGTGGACTCCTCACCTCGTTCTGTTGGGATCTTAAGTGTCCGTTTAAACAGCCTTGTGGTCGACGATCCATCGTCTAGCCGAGGGTTGACAGTGCTCATGCCTTCTACCAGATCACTCACTCTCTTTTCTCTTTCTCTTCTCTTTCTTCTCTCTGCTCTCTCTCTCTCTCTTCTCTCTCTCTCTCTCCTCTCTCTCTCTCTCTCTCTCTTCATCTCTTTATTCTATTCTCTTTATCTTTTCTATCATCTCTCATTATCTCTTCTATCTCTCTCTACTCTTCTCTCTTACTCTCATATCTCTATCTCTCTCTCTCTCTCTCTAAGGGAAGGATAAACATAATCGAAGAGGAACTTGAATATTTATACTTGTGTTAAGATGGCTGTACAGCCTTCCTTTTTCCCATATTCGTATATGTTTATATTTGTATTCAAATTAAAAATTTCTTTGTGTAGTATACGATGTGTAGTTTACCTGTAGTAAAATATTGCTAAGCATAGAGAAAGCCAATAACATGCATGAGTATTTCAGTCTGTTGCAGTGTGCTCTTGATTTCCTCTCCTGGTGCTGCTTATTTGCCTTCAAGCTGCATCAGCTCCATGCATGTTAGTCGGACTTATTTCGGATTCCCGACCTAGCATTTCACAAGGATAAGTCATATCTTCCACTGCACTGCTGCCCACACAGTTGAATGGTCCTTGACAGTTCTTGCTGGGAGCCTCTTCAAATACATCCCACTATCATCTACATTAAACATTTGCTGTGGTATGCAGCTGTCATGATTGTTTATTCTCTTAAAAATACCTTGATAATTTTCAGCTGCTTCGACAGTAATGGAATGTAATGTTTCTTCTAAATGTTGAAAAAGTAGTAAGTTGGTAGACAGAACCACTCTGGAAAGTATTGTATAGTGTGGAAAGTTAGACTATTACTGTACTTACTTGTTCATTATTGTCAAGTGCCGGTCCTCTTTTTCTCTCAAGCACTCAAGATGACAAGTAAATCTCATAACTTTTGGATTTAGATGGTGTATCACTAACAATATCGAGAAAGAGGCACACTTTTGCTCAGTGTAGGCTTGATAAAGCTCTATACAGATTAAGACATTATCTCTTGAGAGCAGTTTGTGCATTCCTTTCTTCACTTGGATCTTGATTTCTTAATTCATATTCCTGTAGTACTTCATTTCCTTTACCATTTATTAAACCTGGCCTGTGATTGGCTGTGGGGATAATGATTGCTGAATCCATTATTAGATTTTAACTAAGATTCTATTGGCAAAAGGTTCTGCTATTGAAATCTCATTTATTTTGCTTTAAATTGTCCATACTCTTTGCCTTCTGTATAATGAACATACATGGGGGAAGGTTGCAGTGGTTTCAATCCTTGATCAGTTCAGATCCTAGGAAATGTTTACATTCTGCTTTAAAATGAGATGACTATGGATAGTACATTCTGTATAATCGGCTAAACCCAGAACCTGGGCAATACCTCCTGCTCTTTTTGGCAGCATTAAACTGCTGTAAAACCTCTGCTTTTGTTTCCAAATCATTGCTGCTCCTTTAAGTCTTATCACAAGATGAGGATGAACTGAAATGTGTTTGTAGGGAAAGATTTGGTAGTTTATAAAATGCAGTGATTTTTTTTTTTTTTGTAAGAACAAAAAAGGCCTTTGAATCTGACCTTAGATTTTAAAAAGCTACTAACTGGATGTTAGGTAAGACACACATGCGACAGTTAGGTATCTTTATTTCGAAATGTTTTGCCTACACAGTAGGCTTCTTCAGTCGAGTACAGAAAAGTTGACAGAAGCAGAAGAGACTTGAAGACGATGTAATCAGTCCATCACCCTTAAAGTTTTGAGGTGGTCAGTCCCTCAGTCTGGAGAAGAGCTCTTCTCCAGACTGAGGGACTGACCACCTCAAAACTTTAAGGGTGATGGACTGATTACATCGTCTTCAAGTCTCTTCTGCTTCTGTCAACTTTTCTGTACTCGACTGAAGAAGCCTACTGTGTAGGCGAAACATTTCGAAATAAAGATACCTAACTGTTGCATATGTGTCTTACTTAACAACCCGTCGGTATTTTATACCATTTTAATACTAACTGGATCTTGACTTCATATTTAAATTGATACTTCATTTGTTAGCTATGAATATTACACATCTAGGAGAATAAGGAGAAACTATTCTGTTGGTGAGGTGCTGTATTTTGTTGCAGTGGTACAGTGATCACACATGGTTTCCTGGCTACTCGTGGAAGGTGTGCATCTGCCCTCGCTGCCAGGCACACCTAGGCTGGTGAGGATTTTATCCATCAGTTTGTGTTGACCAGTCATCTCTTGTGTGTCAGCAAGTCAGCTGTGTGTGTGTCAAGTTTTGACCAGTCAGCTGTGTCAGTGCTTCATTAGTACTTCGTATAACTGTTGCCATACTGAAGAATGGAACACTTAACTGAAGTACTGTAGTTGTTGATTTATTGAGTGACTCGGGATGTGGATGTAATCACCTATTTTTTTTTGACTATATGTGAATTTTATTACAATTTTATAAAAAAAATCTCTTAATTTCACTAGGAAATACTTTTCGAGTGATATGAACATACGGCTTGTCACATATTATGAACAAGTTTTGTGCAACTGTGTAGTGCTCAACTTTTAAGAAATCTAACTTTGTAGCATACAGTAAACTCTTAATGTTCATAGTTTTGACGTTTGCAGTGCTTTCCTATTTATTGTATTATCTTAGGGAATTACTAGGAATAAATTTAGTATTCATGGTTCTCACAAAAAAACAGCCAGTGTGCAAGACATGTGAAGATAAAACAAATAATTCTGTATATGTACAAATGTTAGTAATGTACATGTTTTAATGAAATGTGAAGTTTAGCCATCAAAAGTAAACAGTGTACACTATGCACATAGTACTGTAAATTATTATCCTTATATAACGTCAAGCCAGTGACCTTTCTTCCATGAATACCAAGATCTTGCTGTATGTATGTGTTTCATCAGGGTGGACATAAGTTTTGGAAAAAAAAAATAAAAAATCTTCTGGGCAGCCTGAAGAGTTTTAAAGAAATTAGCTCAAAGGTGATGGTAAATGTTATTGTAGCTAGACAAAAATCAACATAGGATATCTTAGAAAAATTGAGTACTGTACCACAAAGTATTATCTAGTAAATTAAAAAACATTTCACCCTAAAGTAACTTCCAAAAATTGGCCTGTTATAATCCTGACTGTCCTGGACAGATATTCCTGGGGTTAAGGGAACATTTTTCAACAGTTATTTGTGCATTATTTTAATGCTATCGATCTAAAAGATGCTATGATTTAAAGCTTTATGGCTAAACTTTACAAATAAATTTGTATCCTTTCTAAATTTGTTTGTATATATCCATATGCTTACATTCCAAGGTTCTTTGATGTTCTATTTCCACTATGCTATCAGTGTTGAATTGTTAAACGTATATATGAGTTATCCATTTTGGGTCTTCATTTTGCTGAAGTCAGAAGTATACTTTGTCTTTATTCTTTCATTTGGCCTTAGTCAACATTTGTGTGTCAGACTTTTCAAGAAATTTAATAGATGCTTTATATTACGGTAATTCAAAATGCTTAATAACTTGTTACTCAGTTTTACTTTGCTGTATTGCTACTGAAACTTCTGCTGATAATTGCATTTTTTCTACAACACCTCACTTTGTAGGCTTCGTGTACGTGTCAGGCACACTAGCTTTTTTTTTTTTTTTCCTTCCCTCTCTTTCCCCTGCACCTGTCCACAATCCTTGCATACACTGTATCTGTACTATATGTACCCCATGTTGCCTTATAGTTCACTTGGGACTTCATAATTTATTGACCACTGTTTTCCAGTGCAGTGTACCTAATCACTCTACCTTCTTCATATCTCTGTTTTTGGGACTTTGCTTTGTGGCAAAATTATACTGGACTAATGATGATAAATTGAGATAAAAGAAAGTAATTGTGAAGGGGAAAAATGATTTTCCACGTATTGAAAATTTATATTACTTTTGTTTTTCAGGGTCTTTGAACCAGTTGGAAGAGCCAGTATCAGCCATTTTAAAGCTTCATCAGAAGGCTTTTATGGACTAATTCTTGAAAAACTTATTACTGAAGAATGTAAGTGATTAATGTCACTGTATGGCAAAATTAATTGTAATTTTTTTATGATTAGTAAGTGATGCACTTATGTAGCTGCACTTTTTTGTTGAATATTTTAAATGTAAGCATGTGCAGTTTAAGGCACTAGTGTAGTTTCCTACCTGTGTACAGTACACCAGGTACTCTTTCCTGCTAGACATTTAGTTAAGCCCACATTTTCACTTGTATTCTCACCCCTTTTCACATTGTTCCTCATCAAAGAAAAATGGAAGGGTCATTGAGGTGGTGTGGGCACTTAAAGAGCAAAATAGGATAGCTAAGTTATATAAATCTGGGGTGGAGGAAGGGGAGGTAAAAGAGGTTTATGGGGTATAGGTTTGAACATCCAATAGGCTTGTGCAAATGCATTCAGTCAGAATGAATGGAGGCAAAGTGTTTTTCATGAACTGACATGCTGTTGGAATATAGCTGGGTAACATGAAAGTATTCAGGGAAACTGGTTAACTGGACTTGAGTTCTGGAAATGGGAAGTATAATGCCTGTACTCTGAAGGGGAGGGGTGAGGATGTTAAAGTTTGGAAGGACATCTGATCTGTGATCTCAGCACACTTTTGGCAAGAAAGTGATTGTGTGAATGTTTCTCCCCTCTATTTTTGGGCCACAGTACCTCATTGGGAAATAGCTGTTTAAAAAAAAAAAATTGGAGCTCTTAGTCAGTGAAATTGGATCTACCCTCCCCTGCCTTGAATTAAACCTAATTTCTTCTTATTTCCCAGGTGCTGTATGACCCCTGTGGGTTTAGCACTTCCTTTTGAACATAGTACTAATGGTAATTGTAACAAAAATAATTATAACTGGTTTCCACGACTGGTTGTATAAATAGTATGTTTGCACGTGACATCACAGGGTGAACAGCTGATACACTGCAGTCAAGCATGTGCCACTGATGTTTGGTTTACCTTTCCTTGTTAGTGACAAAACAATATACTGTTCTCTGTATTTGAAAAATAATATTTACATTAATAATAGTTAATAATAAAACTTTTTTACACACCCTCTCAAATTCATCCATTAACCTCGTAATTTGTTTTCACAATCCCCTAATAAATGAAGCAGATTTTTTAGGGCATTCTGAAGATAATTTACAAAGGTTGGTAGCTGAATTTGAGTGGGTATGTAAATGAAGGAAATTAAAAATGAATTTAGAAAAGAGCAAGGTGAGGAGGGTAACAAAAAGTGTAGGCAGTGATAGACTGAATATCAGATTGGGGGAAGAAGTATGGAAGAGGTGAATGTGTTTAGATATTTGGGAGTGGACATATCAGCAGCAAATGTCTATTAAAGATGAGGGGTGAAGGGGCAGGGAGAAAGGTGGGTGGTGTGTTGAAGTATTTATGGAAAGAAAGTTTATGGAAGCAGAAAAAACAAGGAACACCAGGAAAAAGTGGAACCAATACTTGTATAGGTTTGAGGCATTGGTTTTGAATGCTGCGTCAAAAAGGAGGCTACACACCCGAGATGCCACGTTTGAGAGCATTTTTTTTTCTTTCCTCCCATACACTGGCTGTCTTCCACCAAGGCAGGGTGACCTGAAAAGAAAAACTTTTTTTTTTTCGTTAGTGATTTATACAGGAGAAGAGGTTACTAGCCTCTTGCTCCCAGCATTTTAGTCTCCTCTGATGTTATGCATGGTTTATGAAGGAAGAATTCTTACCCATTTTTTCCCATGAGAGCAATGCGTGGTGTAAATATCACACACAGAATTTGCAGCCTAGAAATTAGGATGACCAAGGATGTAATTGAGTTCTGAGGAGGGGTTGAGGAATTGGTTTGGACATGCAGAGAGGATGGGAAGGAATAGGTTCACGAAGAGTGTGTATCAGTCTGGGGTGCATTGTGGGAGGGGGTGTTGTCTCAGGAATATTTGAAGGTAGAGAATATAAGAGGTTGGAGCATTAAACATGCTTGTGGAGTGTGAGCAGGGCAACTTTTATGAAGGGGATTCAGAGAAACTGCATAGCTAAGATTGAGCCCTGGAGAAATGGAAAGATGGTAACTGCACTCAGGAGGGTTGGGAATGTTGCAGTCAGATGGTAATCTTATTGTGATGTCTGCACACTTCTGGAAAGATAGTGATTGAAGGAATGTTGGTTAATGTGTGTTCCCCTTTGGGTCACCCTGCCTTGGCAGATGGCCAATGAGGTAAGAAGAAAAAAACTGTAGTTTGTGATTGTATTAGTGTAGATAGTTCTTACAAGTGTGAGCATGTTATAGTCCCTGTTTTTCGTGCATATACGTGTATATGTATGTACAGATGGCTGTCAAGTAAGACGATACGGTTTTGAAAATAGTGTCTAATCAAAAAACTGTCTAAAATGAGCTGGGTTATGTATGTCTGACCCTCCCTCTCCCCAGAATGGTAAATTTTTTAGATCTTGAAATTGTAAAAGATAAAATAGATAATGCAATTGTAGGTGGATGTAGTGACGTGCTAAATAACAAAAAAAGGCACAATACCGTGACTGGAACAGTACGCAAATAACCCACACATTGAAGAGAGTAGCTAGCGATGACGTTTTGGTTCGACTTGGACCATTTACATAGTCGCACATTGTGACTTGGTAAAAGGTCCAAGTCGGACCGAAACGTCGTTGTTAGCTCCTTCAATGTGCGGGTTATTTGTGTAGTGATGTGTTGTTTAATACAATACTTATGGCTACAAAGGTAACATAAATAATAAATTTTCACCTTAAATTCTGATGGATAGTGCATCCTGATTTTTAAGAGAAGCTGAGAGTATGGTGTGCCTCTACTGGGCTGAGATAGATTGTTGACACATTTCATTATGATGGGTGATGGATCAGATTGTTTTTCTGTTTTGTTCTACTTCAAGCTTGTTTGTATTTCTGACTGATTATTAAGCTTGTGTGTTGCCAAACAATTTTATTGAAAAGCATATTAATATAATTCGGTGTTACTAGTTTAACTAAGGCATGGACTTTCATGCTTCTGGAGGCCTATTAAGAGAAAAGTTTGACTTTGACCCCTTATGAATATAATTTGTGCATATCTATATGGCCTCATACATCAGCATATTACATTCAGACCTTGGGCTATTTTCAGTAAATTATAGAGAGAGAGTTATAAGAAATTTAATTATTTGTATGGGCTAGTTTTTCTCTGTACTAAATAATAATAAATTGTGTTTGTATATACGTACTAACAATATCTTTATGGCATAATATTTATAGGTTGGCTTTAACCCTTTCAGGGTCGACAGGCCCTCTCCTAGACTTGTTCTCAGGGTTGACAAATTTTCAAAAAAAAAAAAAAAAAATTAAGAAAAGATAGAGAATCTTTTCCCGATCATAATGACACCAAAAGTATGAAATTTGATGGAAAACTTACGAAATTATGCTCTCGCAAAGTTAGTGGTCTCGACGATGTTTACGCGTTGGTGATTTTGCCCACTTTGAGCCCTATTTTTGGCCAATTCCAGTGTACTAGTCGACAAAAATCATAACTATTTCACTAGAACTCCATTTTTTCTATCGAATGAGTAAAGAAACCACCCATTTACCGATTTCAACTATCCAATAAGGTGGTCAGAATTTAGCAATTTTGCCAATTTCACACAAATTTCAAAAGATGCCAATTTCCAAATAGGGTCCAGAATAAACAAGAAAGACATTCCTGGCACTAAAATAACATTTCCTCTGTTCATTAGTCATGTCCCCACGCCCTTCTTACGTTCTTTTGCTTTCCACTTCGAATTTTTATTCTCACAAAAAATAGAAGATTTACTGTTACGCAGACTACAGCATTAGTGTAGAAATGGCATAAATAATATCAGCGCACTTGTGAAAGAATATTAGACTCACCAGTTGATGTATATTGGACGTGTAGCATGATTTGTTTACTTTTGAACTTTGGCAAAAATCGAAGAGTTCTGCTACTTTGAGCTCAATTTCAAGGCACTTTTCATTGTAAAACCAATCAAAATTGTCCCAGTTTCTGTAATATGTCTTCCATTCTGTAAAATGAGACCAGGAAAACTAGAATACCATAATAAATAGCATACGAAAATAGTGCAAAGTCGCTGTTTTAAACCAAAAACACTGTCAAAGTTTTTTTTTTCTCGTTATGCACTGTGTGCTGCAGGATTTTTTTTATACTGCGCACACTGACCACATAGACCCATTCTTTCATATGTAGGCCTACCAGCTTTCTCTCACTAGATTTGAGGGTGCTAGAATTTAGGCGTACTAGTACGTCAAAAACCCTGGTGCGTAAGCCATACTAGTATGTCAGAAACCCTGAAAGGGTTAATAATAACCCACAGTGGCTATTTGAAGAAAATGGAGTATTTTCCCGACAGCATGTTGGGGACCTTTATACGGTTTGCCATATGACTGCAATCAAACTATAGGAGTACATACAGTGGACCTCCACCTTACGATGGCATCACGTTACGTTAAATCCACCATACGATACATTTTAACGCAAAAATTTTGCCTCGCCTCACGCTAAAAAACTCACCTCACGCGATTCGTCTCGGGCGTCCCAAGTGTGGCGCTGCCCCGTGGGTGCCAGTGTTTACAAGCCAGCCAGTGCAGTCGCATCCACGCATACAATCGATGCATTTCATATTATCACAGCGTTTTTAGTGATTGTACCTGCAAAATAAGTCACCATGGGCCCCAAGAAAGCTTCTAGTGCCAACCGTGCAGTAAAAAAGGTGAAAATTACTATGGAAATGAAGAAAGAGATAATTGCTAAGTATGAAAGTGGAGTGCGTGTCTCGGAGCTGGCCAGGTTGTATTCCAAACCCCAATCAACCATCGCTACTATTGTGGCCAACAAAACGGCAATCAAGGAAGCTGTTTTTGCAAAAGGTGCAAGTTTGTTTTCGAAACGGAGATTGCAAGTACTCGAAGATGTTGAGAGACTGTTATTGGTGTGGATAAACAAAAAACAGATAGCAGGAGATACCATCTCTCAAGCAATCACGTGTAAAA